GGGGGGGGGGGGGGGGGGGGGGGGGGGGGGGGGGGGGGGGGGGGGGGGGGGGGGGGGGGGGGGGGGGGGGGGGGGGGGGGGGGGGGGGGGGGGGGGAGGCGGGGACAAGCGGTCACCGTTCGTGTTAGGCGACGTCGAGCACGTGCTCTGCCACTCCCCTTACAACAAGCTGGTGCAGAAATCGTTCGCGAGGATGGCGTTCTCCGACGCGAGACGCCTCAAGGGGACAGGGAAACCCCTGGGGGAGGGGCAGGAGGAGGCGCTGGGGAAGTGGCTCGACGTGCCCGCCGAGGTGCGTGCGTACCGTCGTGTGGGGGCGCGGGTTTCCCGTGAGTGTTTCCTGCTGCAATTGCGAGGAGGTCGCTCACTGCGGCTGAGCAGTCGCTTGTACAGCAGTCTTTTTTGGAGAGCCAACGGCAAGAAAATCCGCTGCCCCGCCCGCGGATGGAGGGGCCACTAAAGAGCGTTGTGTAGCTACCCTCTGATTTTCTGAGTGAGACTACCGTGCTGGCAAGCCAAGCGGATGAACGAGAATGGTGTAACAACCTGAGTGGAACCGGGAAGTCGTTGACCCCTGCCATGTACCACTTACAATCGTTGCTTGGAGCAGCTAGGGGGTGTGGGCGTGTGCGGGCGTGTTGCAATGTTTTGTGATGACATAGGAGGGAGTTGCTCAGTAGACCGGGCGCAAAGGGCTGGAGGGGGGGCGCAGCCGCACGAAGTTTGTCAGCTGTTCTCCTCCACTAGGAGGAGCATGCGCGTGCTTGCCCACGAAGGGGCGCGCACGCACCCGTCCGTGTCGCAACAACTGTTGAGCGAGTTGTATCAAGCGCGTTTTATTTCAAAAGGGGATGCGGTTTGTCCAGTCCGACCAATCGGTCCCGGTGGGGTCTACAGTGACAGATAATCCTCTTCCTCTGCTGCGGCTGCTTAATGCTCACTCACTAGAAGGTTTCCGGGTTGCACCACAAACACCGAAGGCGGAGGTCCGGAAGAATGATGGCACAAACCTTGCCTTCCGTCCTTTCCGTCCCTTGCTTGGGTCCCTATCTGATCTACACGAATCCATCCAAGTGACCATAACTTTTTGTCGAGCGAACGCCCTCCCCCGCCCCCGCCGCCCGTTGTTGTCTTATCCGCCCACGCAGGAGACGTACGACGACCGCGATCTTGAGAAAGCCCTCAAGACGTTTGCCGGGGTGTCCTCGGAGGCTTACCGGAACAAGGTCGAGCCGGGGTGCCGCCTCAGCAAGCAGATCGGCAACACCTACACCGCCTCGGTGTTCGCCAACATCGTGTGCCTGGTGTGCGCCCGCGGGGCGGCGCTGGAGGGGGAAACCGCGCTCGTGTTCTCGTACGGTAGCGGGTGAGAGAAAATCACGGTTGAAACTCTGTTCTTGTGACAAATTTCCTGAAAATGTCACTTGAAGGCCGACGTTTGGTGTCTGGTGGTATATATGGTCATGCTTGTCTGGTACTTTCACTGTTGTTTGTGGAAATATAGGGATTGAGGGGGTACTGGCGCGCGCTGGTTTCCGAGTGGCCCTCGAAGGGAGTGGTACCGTGTATGGGCACACTACCGACGTGTCGTTGAAAGAGCGTTTGTGTTCATCGTCTCTTCGTCGTCGTTGATGTTGAGCAAGCAGTGTCGGAAAGAGTTGGAAGGCGAACCAAGCGGAAGCGACCGGAAGGATATCTAGAGGAAGGTCAAGGTACTGCAAGCATGAGTGCTGTAGGTGCGACGAGAGAGCGCTTTTCGCGTCGCGCGCTTGGGAGGAGGTCAAGAGTTGATTCGGTTCGGAAGCGAAGATCACAGTCAACAGCGAGTGCGGCTGGTTTGTTCCTACCAAATGAAGCTGACTCGCCCCGGCAGTATTCTATGGGAGTGTCAAGGTATTCTGAAAGGCGCCCAGAGTCACCGACAAAGAGCAAGGGATCCCGTGGACGAGCATGTCGTGCCGGTTCGCAGGTTGTGGAAAAGCAAACTCGAAACCCAACCCGTAGCAGACACGTAGCCCTGCGGCTTGTCGGCCACTTGTCTTTGTGAGCCCTTTTCCCCCAATGCTGTTGCTGCCCAAACCCTCAGCGCCGTGGCCACCATGTACGAGCTGCACTTCCGAGAGACTACCGCTGCGACAGCGACCGCCGCAGCAGCGGCCACGCCCACCTTCAGCGTCGCCAAGATAGCGGAAGCGGTGGGCCTGCCGGAGCGACTGGCCGATCGCGAGCGCTTGCCGCCGGCGGAGCTTGACGCCGCGCTCGCAGCGCGGTCCCACGCCCACGCTCTCGCGTCCTCTTCTTCGCCTTCCGCGGGAGGAGGAGCAGGGGGGGGTAGCTTTGCATTTGTCCCCGAATTTCCGTTAGATAGGCTTTTCCCGGGGGTGTTCTACTTGAAAGGGATCGGTGGCGATGGGGTGAGGGGGTACGGTAGGCGGGATAAGGAGGCGCCGCGGGCGCGGGGCGGGGGGGCTCTCGCTCCGTCCCTTGTTAAAAAGGAGGAGACTTTGGGGGCTGGGGATAGGGAGGAGGTTGCGACGACGGCGACAATGGGAAGCAGGACGGAGACGAGCAACAGCGGCGAGGACGACGAGGAGGAAGAGAAGGCGCGACCGGTGGCAAACGGAGCCGTGCTCGCAGAAGCCCCTTCTTCGGACAGCAGCCTCGCGAATGGGGCCGCCAAAGTTGCTTCTCCGGCGGCGGCGGCGGTGGCGGGCGGTAGCAAGAAGACCGTTCTTGCCGCGGAGGAGGCGGCGGCGGCGGCCACGTCCCCGGCTGCTGGCGGCAAGCTGGGCGCGCTGCTGCTGCCGAGGGTGGTCGTGACCGGCGTGGCGTGCGGGCTCCCCGGGCAGGAGGAGGTATTCGAGAGGGACAACCTGGCGAGGCTGCTGGCGGGGCAGGGTTGCGTGAAGAGGCTGAGCGCCGGGAGCACCGCGGCCTTGGTGGAGAAGAACGTCGTGCAGGTGAAGACAGGGGGAGACAGAGAGAGAGAGACAGAGACAGAGACAGAGACAGAGACAGAGACAGAGACAGAGACAGAGACAGAGACAGAGACAGAGACAGAAACAGCGACATAGACAGACATGGACAGACAGGCAGAGAATATGAAGAAGTGAAGACTTGAGAATTATCTCGAGAGCCTAGCCTAAACCCTTGCTTTCTTCTTTGTCGCCAGCATTGCAAGTTGGTGATCACATGTGTAGACTACTGTGTGCTACTTCATGTGTTTATTCGTCTTACAGGTGAAGAGAGAGAGAAAAAAGGGTAGAGGAAAAGAGAGAGAACGCGGCAGAGAGCTGAGGACAACCTGTAGATCGTAGCCTGACTCCTTGTTTCGCTCGAGTTAGCCCTGTGGTAGTGTTGCCACATGTGAGTGCTACCACATGTACGTGTGTGTACGTCGAGCAAACGTAATCGCTGGAGAGAGGCTGGTGCCATAGGAGACAAGCCTTTTGCCACCGCTGCGCACGGCTTCCGCCATCCCGTTGTATTTCATTTGGGGCGTGTCATTTGGAGGAATTGTAATTGTTTATCGTCTTCCCACCACAGTACTCCTCTTTTTGCTCGGGTTGTGGTTGAAGTCGCTCGGTAGATCCCTAAGTACGCCCGGAGCGCGAAGCACCTTAGAAAACGCGTTGTCCAGGCGAAGCGCTTTCCTCGTTTCCAACCGCTCGGATGCGGGGATGTGTTGTGCAAGAGGTTTTAGGTTCTCTTCCGTGTCGCTGTTTAGCTGATGCGCCCCCTCGACAGCTCCGGGATTTTCTTGGCGCCAAGCTGTCCAACTTGCCCTCGGCTTTCTTCCATTTACTTCCAACCACGGGAACGACCACCATTTGGAGCTGCATCCACGGTGGAAGGGCGTGTGTTGGAGTCCTTCTTGTCGTGGTGGTGTTTGTGGGTTCTCCTGGAAAATTTTGCGACGAGTAATCCTCGTGGGCCATTCTTTTTGACTAGTATGTTTTAACCCGCAAAGTGTGCTTGCTGTCGCGCGCGCTTGCGATTGGTTCGGCTCGTCAGGTCAAGAGGCAGCCGGGCGGCCAGCCCCCCCTGCGCATCCCGATCTCCAAGCCGAGCCAGACGATCAAGCTCGCCGCCACGATGGGCGACCTCGACATGGCCCTCTATGGCGTGTCCCCCAGCATCGCGGCCACCATGGACAAGGCCGTCAAGGTGCTGCTTGCTGCTGTTGCTGCTGCTGCTAAATTAAACATGTGCAGGTTCCCCCCAATCGTTTGCCGAAGCAAATCCCGGACGCTAACGAGAGCGTTGGTGCCGTCATCCCCGCGGGAAACAGGAAGCCCCCCCCGGGGTGTTGTGCCTCGTAGATTGTCTATGATTTCGGAGTCGGTGCGGCTGGTGTGTTTGCATGGTCACACGACCAGCGGGTTCCCGGTTGCCAAGCCCTCTTTTCGCAACATTATCCGCCGACTGTTCTCTCGAAGATCTTTTTCGCGCGCCGGGTAGCTGACGCCCGTGGCATGATTACCCCAGCTATTTGCTGCCTTTCTGCTCGAGCGCGCTGAAGGTGGCTGTGGTGGCCGGCCTGGAGGCCCTGAAAGACGCGGGCATTGTTACTGGGGAGGGGGAGGGGGGCTGGATGCTCCCGGGGCACATGCGTGACACCACCGGCGTCATGTACGCCTCCAGTTTCCCCGCCTTGGATGCCGCCATCGGAGAGGTCAGGAATCGTCTTGTTTTTTCTGTTGTCGTTGTCGTTGTCGTTGTCGTTGTCGTTGCGGTGGTGGTGGTGGTTGGCTTGTGGTTGGTTTGAAGTTGGTGTCGATCTCACCAAGTGCAGCTAGTGTCATGGGTGGTCTGTGTTTTTTTATTCGTCTCAACGATGCCGTCGATTGCTATAGTACTGTCTTGTCATGATGATTTGCGTTGGTGGTATCTTGGGTCGTGCCTTGAGGTGGCGATGGTATTACAGGTCAGTCGGAAGGCTGACTGTGGCGATGGCAGTCGTGCCAATTACGCGAGGTCAAGCGCAGCAGAGGAGAAAGAGGGGCCTGCAGAAGGAAGCTAGGGAGTGTGGGGATACAACCAAAACGTCGTTCATCAAGCCGACTGTTGATTCGACGACACTGATATCGCCGCAGCAAGCAGCGTCATCGCATGGAGACAGTCAGGATCCAGCCCAACTCCACTTCTGTTTTCTGTTTCAAAAACAGCGTGTGTTCCTTTCGACTTTGGCGATTTGTTTTGAGCCGAAAACCTCTCTGGCACTTGCCTACTCAGCAAGGGCTGCCCCGATATGGGCGGTGGCGTAACTCGACTCAGATCACGTACACTCGACGCCTTTTTACCCTCCCTCCCCCGCGCACAGGTGATGAGATTCCTTCGCAGTCGATGCATCACCCGGGCTAAGAAGGGACAGCTGGTGGCGGCCCTGAGGGAGAGGCTGTCGGCCGTATCGCCGAACGGAAAGGTTTCCGACGAGGACGAGGAGGCCCTCAAGGGGCTTGAGAATGTACGTGCTCTCTCAGCAGTTTGTTGCTGTTGTTGTTGTTGATGCTTGGGTCGTTGTGGTTGTTTTTGTTGGATGGTGATGTTGTTGTTCGTGCTGCTGTGGTCGTTGTCGTCGTCGATCGTCGTCGTTCTTATTGTTGGTGTTATCGTTGAGAAGTGTTGCGGCTTGTGTGGGCCTGTTTACTTCTGTTGTTGCCACTTCTATTGTTCATGTCTCGTTCTCGGGCAGCTGGAAGGGTAAGTCCCACGAAGTAGACGTGCCCATTCATTTTATGTGCAACCCCTTGATGTCTCGTGCTGTCGTCTTCAGGCGATGCTCACCAAGAGCACGGTCGATCTTCGCTCCCTCGCAACCGCACGCGAAGAGGAACCCATCCACTACGAGTTCGACCGCAAGTTCCTCTTCAGGTGACACCGCAAACAACACTTCTTCGAGACAAGCAAGAAGGTAGAATCTTATGCGTTAATCGCCGGGGTGCCGTAACACGCCAGAAGGAGAAGCTATCCAGTGTTTGTTACGCCAGGATATAGAGAAATTCCGGTTAAGAACGTGGTAGCTGTCCCCATCGCAGTCAGATACACCGCCTGATTCATGATGGTTTAAAGCACCATCGCACTTAGATCGGCCGCCTGCGTCATGGTACGTGTGCATCAGCAAAGACCAGGAATCCATTCGCGCTCGACGAAAAATAGCACACGCTCACTTACCCCCACGTGCTTACGCGGTGCGTCAACGAGGGTTAAACTGATCCATGAGTTTGTATTTGAGGGCAGTTATTGCTATCCTTAGGTCGTTGTTGTTTGCCCTCCGAGGATGGTGCTCCGCCCGTCCCCTTGCCTCCATACGCCTCTCGACGCCAAGTGGAAAAGCCGGACGCAACCTCGAACCCAACCGAACCGTCGTTCTATACCGCCGCCACCGCCGCCGAAAAAAGAGTTCTGGTCCTGGGCAACGCTCAGCTGGCTCAGATGGTCGGGGCCCGTGGGCCGAACATGCAGACGAACGCGGCGTGCGCTGGCTCCACCCTCGCCGTCGCCATGGCCCAGGTTTGTACACGACTTTCGTTTTTTTTCTCTCAATCCCCCCTTTGGACCTGTGGTTGGTGTTGATGATGAACTCGATTTCGCTCCTAGGTATTGTACGTCCAAGTCGTTGCTCCCTTCTGGTTGGGTGTTGTAGGACGAAGCTCGTTCGTTCTTCGCTCTCGTGCTGGTCCTGGCTTCGGTAAGCCGCGCCTATCGCGTTCGTGTATTCAGTTTCTTGTTGTGACACTGATAGTTGTGATTTCGTTTGCTTGCTAGATTAATTTTTGCTGCGACCTATGTATGTCGCTTTCGGTGATGTTGCGTTTCAACATCGCTGCCCCGTCCCCCACGTGTAACGGTCAATGATTAGGCAAGAATCCCCCCCGGTAGATACTGAAGACCAGGGAACACATATTGAGCCACAGGCAAACGTAGGAAGGAACGATCGGCCATCGGTGATCGGTCCTGTGGGAACAATGCTCCGTCCTCTTGAGGTCGCAGCGTCAACGGTCTAACCGCCAAAAGGCATGCAAAACATGAACACGCTCCCCCCCCCGTGAACATTATTAATAGGACATGATCCAGATCGGGCGGTGCGAGCGCATGGTGGTGATCGCGGGCGACGATGCCTCTGGGGAGGTCCTCCTGCCGTGGATCGGGAACGGCTTCCGCGCCCTCGGGGCCTCGAGCATCGCCGCGGACCCCTCCGACGCCGCGTTGCCCTTCGACGCCAGGCGGAACGGGATGCTACTTGGGGCCGGCGGTATCGGAATGGTGTTGGAGACGGAGGTATGTACGGCATCAGAGTTTTTGCTTTTTTATGATTTGTCTATGATTATAGGCAATGGATAGGATACCACGGCCATGCACCTGGCACCGCTCAACAAGACTCATGCAAATGTATCGACCGACCTGTGTCATCACTGGAGGTCTTGGGAGGGATGCAGGCCCGACGGGTTTCTCGTGACGAGGGCGTGTTTGTCTAGGGCGTCGTCACAATGGGGAAGGCAATACAGCGAGCTAGGGGGTCATGAGTGGGAGGCGAGCACCGAGGCTGAAAACCTTTCGAAGTATGCTACACGACCGGAAACATGAGAAAAGATTGTGGAAAACACGCAAAAACATGTTGAGACGCAATAGAGAATCATGTTAACATAACCCCAGAAGACGAACTTGGCTGCCGAGCTTTCAGGGATTCCAATCCTGGGCCCCTCGTGCGTCTAGGACCCTTTTTTTTTGTCATTGCTCCGCCAATGGACCTCGCCTCGCGGCCAGACTTGCATCTACCGGTAGCCCTGAGTTGCGAGGGCCGTCCCGCCGTGCCGCGCGCTCTCGGGGCGGACGTCGCGCAGCGCTAGCGAGGGCAGAGAGTCGCGTTTCCGACATCTACCACGGCTGCACCAATCAGAACTCGGTTTAATGACAGTGCAGGCCATTCACGTACATTCGGCGAAGAGGCTGGTCCTGGTAGGTGCATCTACACACCCTCGCCACACACGACCACCGAACAAACAAATCTCCGCATGCCACGAGACAAAGCACCCTACTGCCGCAGTGGGTCTCTCTTTCGTTCCCGACGAAAAAATCGGGGGGATTTGCGGCTGGTGTCGTGTGCACAGCAATGCAAGCTGCACCTCAAGTAGAGCCCATACCTGCTTGATCGAAAGCGGTGGTCTCCATGTCGGAATACTAAGTCTCGGAATGATCCCCTTGGGGCAGAGGCGCAGCCCGTGCACAGCAACCCAGCTTTCCACCGGCACCTTTGCATAGCGCTACTCCTGTAACGGTGCACGTCAACCGCCCTTAGCCCCTCTTGCGCCGTGGCTTAGGCTTTCACGTAGAGCAACCTAGCATTTCACCTGTCCCGCGTTTCCTGTACAGCAACCTAACTTTTTCCGCCGCCGGTTGCCGAGGCGGGCTTGCACGCGTTGGGTCGGGTTGATCGCCGTATCCCGTCGGTGTGCTCATCTAGGCCAACCGGAAATTGTTGGTGTTGGTGACATTCATCACCAACGAACTCCCGGACCCAAACCATGCTGATCCATCCGCCATGTAACAAATCTACACCAGCTTCGAAGCATGCCATACCCCCGACAAAAGTGCCGGCAGCGTTCGTACAGCGTGCGAATGCCTCCGTCGTGGAGATCGGGTCGGCCTTCCCTAGCGCTGCACCAATGCTGCCGGCACTGGTGTCGGGGGTAAGGCATGCTTCAAACCTGGTGGGGGTGGAGTTCGAGGTAGGGCTATATCCTAGGTTTGCAACGGTGCGAACAACTGTGCACATCAGGTCTAGGGTTCGGAACCAGAAATCGGGGCTTACTATGTACTCCGAGTGCATCCATCGGGGCAAATATCCTCCTATGCCACCCCATCGCAGGTGCTTTTTTCCCTCTGGCAGAGCATTCAGCAGTACTCACTGCTGTGGGACGAGAACCGTGGGTTAGGTCATTCAAACAACATGTAACAAGGGAAAGGACGTACACATCAGTCAAACACCAGTTCATGAGTGGGCCCTGTTAGCCCGTGCAGGTCCACAATGGAACCACCCGGTTTTCCACAACGGTACACCACGAAGGGAAAATCTCGTTTGTTCCCCTCATCTTTTCATCTTTTTTGTTCCTGCTTCGAAACACACGCGTTCAGTCACGCGCAACCGCCATCGTGGTAAACGCCGTCACACTTCGAAAATGATTCACAGCATCGAACATAGACGCGCAGCACACGTTAGCCGTGTTTGCTCACCTACCGCCGGGGAGGTAGGGCGTACACAGCCTTCGTTGCTCGCACGTTACCTATAGCAGTGACGTTTTTGCACTTTCGTCTCACCATTCCCAATCACACACACGTCATGATCACCTCTGTGTCTTTCTCCTCTTACGGATTCGACGTTCCTCTCCTGCCGCCATCACCGCATGCCTCCCCCGCCCAAGGGAAGCGGCGGGGGCGATGCTCACCCTAGTTGGACTAATATACTCGATGGCAACGTGGTATTTTTCGGTGCTTCGCTTCTCTCCTGAGGGGGGGGGGGGGGGGGNGGGGGGGGGGGGGGGGGGGGGGGGGGGGGGGGGGGGGGCACACTATCTGGACATCCCCAAAACAAAATGTTGTGCAAGATTTTCGACTTGTCGGGGAGAGAGGAAGCCTGGCCTTGAGGGCCAGCGGCATTGAGGAGTTCGGAAAGATGGCCCCTGCTGATCCGTAGCTTAGTTCTGTCCAAAGTGCGTTTTTTTCGTCATTGCTGTGCTGGTTGAACTAGTTTCAGCTACGCGCGAGGGCTCTCGCCGGTGCCCGTTCGTCGTGCCCGACCAGCGAAACGGCGCTGCCCTAAGAGCCGCCGCCACTTTTTCAAAGCACTGAAAGATTTCGATGGTTCCCTCTGTGACGCGGGTGTATAGATATCGCCGACGTTGTAGAAAGGACAATGCTTATGGTAAGTAAAGGCCCTCGAATGTTCTCAGGATAGAAATCGGGAGTCTCACCTTTTATCGTCCGTAGGTCCATTCCTGAAGTGTTGCTGGCGTTGAGGCAACACATCTCAACTTGATTGGCAATACTTGCTCTTGTTCGTCCCACAAAACGGTGTCTTCTGCTGTAGCTCTCGCCCCCGTGCCCTGTGTTGCTTGTGCCCCCGTGCGTATATCGAAATCACGGAATACCCGAGCATTCCCTCTCCCCCGCTGCATCTGTCTGTTCCCCACGCGCTACTTTTATTTTCGCTGTTCGGATCTTTTCCGTCTCGGAACCATGTGGAAACACGCAATAAAAATAACTTAGGGGGCCGCCGCTCGGAGACACTGCGAGGCGGTCGGAATCCGAGCTTCACAACCTACGCCGCCGCCGTCCACCAACGGGGTGATGAAGGTGCGTTCGGGCAGCGACCGGAGAAAGGGTTCTCACACGAACAACCCAGGACTGCATGCATGTTCTTCTCGTTTGGTTGTGTAGCACTCTTTGTTTGGTCTGGAGTTGGGAACCAGCTTAATAGCCAATGGGATGGATGACTTGGGAATCTGTCCCCCAACCGAATGACTCGGAGCTGTTGCTGCGCTTGGGTGGCGGGGTGTTCGCGATGATTGGCAACACGATGGTAAAGTGGGGGCGCGGCGGGTAACTTACACATCGTTGAAGCCAACTCATGCGGGGTCATGCGACGTGGTGCTTTCCATAAGCATGGCTCACTGCGTCATTGTCGTCATCGCATGCCTTCTTGTGTTCAATAGCCGTCACGTCTATCACACCATCGCCGAGGGCTAGCGGCGGGGTTGACTCTGATCGTTGGTGTTTGTTCGCCCCGCCTATGTAGCTTTCCGATCACATCTTATCGTAAATGGACTCGTCTTATTTGCGTGTGTATGCCACGCGTATGCGTTTTTTGTTGGTGCCATCTGCATGCGTCTTGCTGCTGATTATTGTTTTGCTTGTTTGGAGCAGGCGAGGTTGCTTGAGACCCAGATCTCCAACTCGGCCTACCACGGGGCCTCCATGGACAAGCACCACATCGCCATCGAGCTAGAGGTGCGTCAAGCCCTCCCAGCGTCCTCTGTGTCCGTTCTTGTCGTCGCCCTTTCTATTTCGGTTTGTTTAACAAACCCAAGCCACCCCACCTCTTCCCTCTCTTTCGGATGCAGAGGAAGGTTCTCATTTTTTTTCCGTTGTTGTATGAGTTTATTTTCACCCGTGTCTGTGCTCCTGTGATGGTGAAGTCGACCTTGTTCTCCGTTTTGGTTTGCTTCATCGCCAACGGCTTTGTGTTGAAGTGATCTTGGGATACAGTTTGCGTGTTGGTGACGGTGGATGCGATGTTGCGGGCCCGTCGAAAAGAGAGTTGGGTAGAATACATGCTGCACTACTGGCAGTAGGGGGGGGAGGGGGCAGCTGTTGGCCACGACGAAATGCTTTCATGATCATGGTTCCTTGCACGTTCATTTTTCGTGGCTTTAGAAACTTTGAGACCAACAAGAATCAGCAATGGTATGAAAACGATATATTCGACGAATGAACGCTTGCTATCTAACAAAAAGACTACAATTGACCGTCCGTAACAACTGCAACAACAAACAGCGGTTCCTCGTGGCCATGGAGCGGAACTGGGGCATCAGCCGGGATGCAATAGCCGAGTCGGGGGTGTACTTCTCCCACGAGACCTGCACACACGCTACCCCCACCGCCTCCTGCGCCTTCAACGAGGTGTGGGCCTTGCGGCAGTGCTTCGGGGAGGAGCTGCTCTCTCGACTCGTCATCATCAACACCAAGGTGTCGTTGTCATGGAAGCGTGTGCTTGTGCTGTTGTTGTTTCTGTGAGTTGTGTGGTGGTTATCGCAAACTTGTCGCCACCTCGGGGCTAACAATGTCGAGGTGTTTTGGAACGGGTTTCTTGCCCCAAAAGCAACCATTAACAGCATGTCTTCCAGGGCAGCAGACCAAACGACGTTCTCTCCACGCATGGACCCACCGTAAAGTTCTGGGGTACAGGTGTCCCCTCTTGGAGGTCGCTCATGAAAATCTTGAACAATGGTGTTCCTACAGCAGATAATTATCTTTGTGATTTTTCACACCCTTTTATCTTTTGTTCATTCTGCGGGGCATCATGCTTCTCGAACCGATGACGTCCTTGAAGCAGTACGGTGTTTATCATGAACGATTTCTACTCGAAGGTTTCGGATGTTATCCTACACGACAGGCCTTCCACGAGGTCACAACTCGATGGCTTCACCTACTCCGTACCAGGCCCGGTGACAACAATGCATTTAACTCCTCCGTTCATTCCTCCGTTTCCAGCGTGCCGCAGTCTACTGCGTCACCCGACCCTGTCATTGCATTTACTGACTGACCAGTACCATAACCCCCATCTGCATGTTTTGGCGGTGCAGGGGTTCACCGGTCATCCTATGGGCGTCTCCTTCGAGGACGTGGCAGCAGTGGAGGTCCTTCATCGCGGTATCATCCCGCCGACAGCCAACAACCCTGCGGTCGATCCCTCGTTGGTAAGAGAGAAGGGAGATACAAGAGTCGCGCTGTGAGAGCGTCATTTGCCCAACCAGAGATGGTTTCGATGTCCCCGCTGGGCGACTTGTGTATGGGAAAACGTGCCAGGGGACGACCACCAAGAGGAAGCTGGCGGCATGAGGATCAGAGGGGCGGTGAATCGAAACGCACGGCAACTGCACCGAAAAGGAGAGAGAGAGACGCCTTCCAACGACCGCTCACGCCATCCCCCCTCCCCGCTCCCTCGTATTTTCTCTCCCCTTTCTCTTGCAGGGGAAGCTTCGGCTAAGTCAAGGGGGAGCCTATGCCGCCAAGTACGCGATGCGGTTCGCGGCCGGCTTCGGTAGCCAGGTGGCGTTCGCGCTGTACGCCGCCGTCGATTCCGTTGACGTCGTCGCGCAGAGCTGATGCGTTCGCCCGACCCCCTCCAAGAAGCAGGTCAAATTCAAGAGGGGTTCCGGCGCTTTTGGTCTCGCTCTAGCTAATTCGGGAAGGTGCACACAGGAATTTATTTTATTGCGTACCTTAGCTGTTTGTGGACGAAGGGTGTGAGACCTGTAACAGGTGTTGCTTTGTTGGTGTCCTTGACTGACGCTCTGGTTGGTCTCTAGGTTTGGCGCCGCCACTGGCCTTGTGCCAGCACCGCGGTATGTATGCGCCACATCATGCGGTGGTGACTCGAGGAGACGGGGTAGTTCACCTGACGATTTCAGGAGCACGGGGGTGACGTTCACCATTCCACTTTTGTACAAGACGCGTGTCATCGAGAGCACGAACTGACCACGTGCCGCAGGTCTGCCCTTTCCGTTTAATGAAGTGGTTCGAACGAGAAATGTTGCCGGTGGCAAGCCAGGGTCGGAATCAGAGAGCGAGCGGAGAGTTGGCCCCTCTGACCATCCCTACAGTACGTACCAAGACTTTCCATCGGTGCCTCCTCGGTTGGTATTCCACAGGACGAGCAGCAGCTGGTTGGTTCCGCATGGGAATGCCCTGCTAACCCCCGGGTGGGGAGAGTTTGGAAGTTCCGAGAGAGTTCGACGATACAGTTCCTCCCGGGGATGACGATGTGTATTCCCCTTATGACTCGCTGTCGTTGTTCGTGCCAATGCGTTGACAATGATGTGCCTCAAGCGTGCCCGATGGTTGCACGGTCCGCGTCCTATCTTGCTGACACATGAAATGCTTGACGGAATCCCGTTGTCTTTTCTATTGCCTTCTCTCGTGGGAGGTGTTACGGGGCACCGTTTGGTTGCACTGTGGCCCCTTCCGCGGAGAATGAATTGTGTGTACGCCAATGAACTCCTCACGGCGGCTACCTGTAAACCTCGTATTCTGTCGAGTTTTTTCTCTTCGGCTGAGTTGCTTTTACACACACAGTACGAACCTTCAGCCAGTGGTTTCGTTTTCATGACTTGAATACAGCCCTCACTAAGCCCAGTGTCCGGCGCCCCCCTCGACGATGAAAGGTGGAATGTAAGCTACAAGATTCGTCACTTTGCTTTTTGTGAGCGAGACGGGCACTGGGAGATATTTAATGTGCAATTTATCACGTGTGGGTAGCCTAGCAGCCTAGACTCGAGCATGGTGTTGAGGATCTCTGATTGCGGTCCAAAAACGACTCTATTCTGCTGCATGGGTTTATGCAGTGATGTTAAGGCGTTGCCCAGTCTGTAGCCGTCAGGTGAAGACAGCTTGGGCGTCTGTGTGGATAATAAGATCACTCTGTGTGTTTGCCTACCTAACTTCGCATCACATGCCAGCTAGTTTGTAGCTACAGCTGAAGGAACAGCTGTACAGCGACTGCAGTGACAGTGCTGTTGTCTCAACAGGTTGTGAGCCTCGAGTTGCTCGGGCTAGCATACCAGAGTCACAAGAGTCGGTAAGCATGGCTACCGGCTCGTCAGGCGAGATCCGAAGAGGATTCGCCAAATTCAGTGGTGACCCAGGCGACTACGTCGGCTGGCGAACCCTGCACACCTCCTTTTTTATGGAGGACAAGCTGCAAAAGGTTCTGGTGGGAGTGGAGAAGGCCCCTACGGATCTCGGACCATGCGCTACGCCGAACCAGACGTTGGCATACCAAATTGCCACGGACACAGCTGATGGTCGCCGCAGACTGTGCAGGCATAGGCGCCTTTCGGATCTTTCTTCAACGGAGACGGTCGTGGAGCCTTCCTCGCCCTGGAACGAAAGTACCAGGCCGCTGGGGTACACCGTACGCAGGAGCTGCACGAGAAGTTCATGTCTTTGGCAGTTACTGCGGACACGATTTTGATCCGGCCAACGTTATTCAAGACATGTGCCGGATCTGCACGGAGCTCGCCGTGTATAACGACACGGTGGCTGACCACCGAAAGACGTTCGCTTTCCTGCAAGCACTGCCGGACGACCACTTCAAAGAGTTCAAGACAGGGCTGTTGCGCGGCCAGGCTGCTGGGTGCGTCGTGTCCTTCGAGGAGGTCGACTGAGCCACTTCGTTCCACGCGATGCACATTCGTGGTAAAATTGCGTCGAAGAACGCGTCTGGAAGCAGTAGCTGTGCGCTGAATACCGTCACACACGGCGGAGCGCGTTCTTTCCGTAAGGGTNCACCGTACGCAGGAGCTGCACGAGAAGTTCATGTCTTTGGCAGTTACTGCGGACACGATTTTGATCCGGCCAACGTTATTCAAGACATGTGCCGGATCTGCACGGAGCTCGCCGTGTATAACGACACGGTGGCTGACCACCGAAAGACGTTCGCTTTCCTGCAAGCACTGCCGGACGACCACTTCAAAGAGTTCAAGACAGGGCTGTTGCGCGGCCAGGCTGCTGGGTGCGTCGTGTCCTTCGAGGAGGTCGACTGAGCCACTTCGTTCCACGCGATGCACATTCGTGGTAAAATTGCGTCGAAGAACGCGTCTGGAAGCAGTAGCTGTGCGCTGAATACCGTCACACACGGCGGAGCGCGTTCTTTCCGTAAGGGTGGCGGTCATCATGGTCGTGGACGCGCGCAGCGCGGTGGACGAGGACGTGGCAGCTGGAACAACTCGTCGAACCGCAACAACGGGTCGTCGAGGGGGAACAACAGCAACGACCAGAAACATGGCGGCGCAACTTCTGACAACGGAGCTGGTGGTGAGTCTTCCGATAGCCGGTCCTCTGGACGGCCAAACCACTCACAGCAAAGACGTGGGTACGGCAGGGACGGCATATGCAATAAGTTACTGTCACAATTTTATGGAACACACCTGGACGAAATGCCCGCTTCGCGCCTCCAATGCCACGCGGTTTTCGAACCGTGAACAGTAGCAACCGCAGCAGCAGGTCAACACGACCGCGGAAGCCACGGCACAGGCGTGGCTCACGCATGCGCGCGAGGTAGACCTCAAGCTAGAATTATTCGACATCGCCATTGGCGATCCCGAGCAGGTGCCGTTTGCGCCTGCTGCATCGACCCCTGAGGAGGCGTCTGATGCCACTGTTGGGCAGGTGCTGGCTGCGCCTGCCACCGCTTCGCTTCCATTGTTGGAGCGTGCTGTCCCATTGCAGGTGCCGATTGCGCCTGCCACAGCAGAGAAAAAAAACCGAGGAGCCTGCTGCCTCCTACGAGCAGGAAAAGGACCAGCTTGCCGCGATACAGCATGAGGACTTGGTCGCGTACACCAACGTCTTTCGTGCAGTGGACAAGACAGTTCCCTCCGAGAATACGAGGGTGTTCATCGACGCCGCCGCCTCCGGGCACATAGTAAGCGGCGAGAGCCCAGTCGCACAACATGTGGTCGATTTGGTTGACTGCGACGTCCGCATCAAGGGTTCGTGCGGCACATCCAGCGCCACCAAGAAAGGTACGCTGAAGTTCAAACTCGAGAATGATAAGGGTCGACCCGTCCCGATAGAGTTGGAGGTTCTGCTTGTGCGGGACCTTGGGGCAAACATTTTTTCTGTCGGAGCGTTGGATGAGAAGGGGGTGAAGACGGATCTACTTTCGGCACCTCCGGCCCTGCGAAGCCGGAACCTGTCTTTCCCCATATCAACAGCAGAGATGCCTCGAGTGTACGTCGTGAATCTCATCCTGGGCGACCTGAATCTCGACCTGCCTAGTTCTCCGCTAGTGTTCCGTGCCGGTACCGATGCCGGTGTCTGGCACCGGAGGATGGTAGGTACATTGCAATGCGTGCGCCCTGAAGCAGCTCTCGGATAAGGAGGGCACCGGCATCAAGTTCACCACCAACATTCAACCAGGTGACTGCGAAGGGTGCAATGTATCTAAAAGCAAGAAGGCAAGTCACACCTCGATTGGCCGCGCCCGTTCACCGACGCGAATGATGCTTATGCATGTCGACCTGTGAGGGAAACATGGTGTGCCATCGTACAGCGGATGTCATCATATCGCAATGTTCACCGACGATAAGTCTCGCATGCGGTGGGGCATCCCCCTGAAGAAAAAGGATGAATTCACTGACGCGCTCGAAATCCTGATAAAAGAAGTCGCCGATCCCCATGGCATCTGCTTCGGGAAAATCCATCGCGATGGCGCAGCCGACTTCAAGGGTAGGTTCTTAGCAATTTGTCGGTCCTTTGGGATTGCTGTAGAGGCAAGCCCCCCATACGTCCCTCAACGGACGGCCGAACGCGGTTTCGGGACCGTCATCGGTCGTAGCCTCATGCTTGGAGCTCCGCACCTGCCGCGTAAACAACGTGGGCCGAAGCCGTGAAGGCCGCCATTTATATCAAGAACCGCACACCTACCGACGTCCTGGACGGCAAAGCACCACTTGAGGTTTGGGAGGACGAACCACTCGGCAGCTTGCAGCCCATGCATGAGTGGGGGTCTATAGCGTTCAAACACGTAGAAGCTTGCTCGCGAAACGATAAGTTTTCTGCCAGGGCGAAGAAGTATTACATGGTGGGATACAATACAACCAGCAAGACGTGGCGGCTATGGGACCCGGCGGAACCACTCAAAACTACAACCTCTGCTGAAGTGTCATTCCGCGAGGTAGATGCCCGCGACGTCGCTCGCCCCATGCACGGGTCTGACCCATTTCCCGAACAAGGCCAGATTTTCCAGCCCGGCATCATCACTGGGGCCGAGACAAAAGACGAGGAACCAGAACCGGCAGAAACGAACGACGGACCGGACGAAGAATCACCCGCGGTGTGCAAANGTTCCAGCCCAGCATCATCACTGGGGCCGAGACAAAAGACGAGGAACCAGAACCGGCAGAACGAACGACGGACCGAACGAAGAACCGTCCGCGGTGCGCAAAAGCGGTCGCACGACGAAGCCGCGGGACCGTCTGAACCTGTTTACGACGGAGCACGTGTTCGAAACAGGATACGCGCAGGTGATCGGAGGTGAGATCGGGAACCTTGGTCAAGGGATACCTGGCCAACTAGGATACATGCCCGCCGATCCACCGAACTTCCGCGCAGCGGTCAACGGACCAGATGCCGTTGGGTGGATGAAAGACATGGAGGAGGAGAATCGCTCCTTACTGGGCCACGACGCTTATGAGTGGGTCGATCCCCCGCGCGATGCTCAAATCATCCCGTCAAATTAAATCTACAAATGGAAGTACAACGAGGCCGGCATCGCTGTGCGACAGAAGTCGAGAATCGTAGTGCAAGGATTTCATGAAGCTGAGACCGGAACCGACAATGCTGCACCGGTAGCGTCTCTCCAAGCCGTCCATCTGATAGTTGCGCATGCTGCCAAGAATTGACTTGTTCTTCGCCAAACCGACATCAGGACGGCGTTCCTCCACACGAGGATGGAACGGGGATCGAAACCAGTGTACGTCATTCCCCCGGAAGGATTCTCGTGCGACAGCGAGCATGCCAGGCAGGTCTGGAAGCTCAGAGCATGGCCTTACGGGTTGCGTTTTCCCCCAAAAGGTTGACGGGAAACCCTGCACGAATTTCTCCTGGAGATCGGATTTGTTGAGAGCACCGCTGAACCGTGCTTGTACATCCTGGACGACGGAGATGTGCTCCTTCTCGTTGATGTGGATGACATTCTACTAACCGGGGAGGGCGAAAACAAAGTGCTGAGCATGGTCGATCACCTGAATGAGAGTTTCGAAACGGTGGACCTGGGAGGAGCCAGATTACTACTCGGTATGGGAATCAACCAAGACAGAGCCGCAGGCACGATTTTTTTAGAACAGGAAGCGATGACAACGCAGTACAAGATCGGCATGGCCGACGCGCGTCCAACGACATCTATCTCCGTCTGAGGCTGGACCGGGGTCCGTCTTGGAGGACCAGGTGTTGTCAGCGGAGGATAACACATATTTCCGCTCCGCCACAGGCTCGCTTCTATATCTCAGCAGGTGCACAAGGTCCGACATTACTCACTCCGTGATGGTTCTGACGCGGACTATGGCAAGACCAGGTCCGAAGGCTATGCAGAAACTCAAACGCGTACTCAGGTACCTGAAAGGGACGATATCAATCGGTGTACGCTACGGCGAGGATGCCGAAGATGGTGACGTCATTACGGCGTTTGTCGACTCAGACTTTGCAGGCGACCTAGACAAGGGCTACTCCACCACGGGAGTCGTGCTGTACTTCGGTGGTGGACCGGTGTAATGGACATCATCCAAGCAGACAGTGGTAGCGACCTCTTCAGTCGAAGCAGAGTTCGTGGCTTTGTCAAAGGGGTGCAACATCATCAAGTACTTCCGCCACCTGCTGGACACCATAAATCAGACGCAGGAAGAAGCAACCACCGTGGTGTGGGAAGGCAACTCGGGAGCTCTGAAATTAACTCGCAGCTTCCATATGATCCCAAGGACTAAGCACATTGACGCAAAGTTTCACCACGTAAGGTCGCTGGTAGCTGATGGAGTCGTAGACGTGAAGCAAATATCGACGTCGCTTCAGCAAGCGGATATTTTTACGAAAGGGCTGAACCCGTCGGAGTTTCTCCGCGCCCGTGGCATGCTGCTAGGAGTTTAATCGCCTCCCCGCTTCGTAATCAGACTGATGTCTTGAGGGTTGGATGGTGTTTGTGTGTGTATTTGTTAATAGCATATTCGGGAGATTTTTGTTGAAGAAAAACGCTCGCTGCTGATGCGACGCAGCTGAGAAAGGCAAAACAATTGATATTGAGTTAGAAGTTCTTCAGATTGCGTTGTTTCGAAAGGACGTGGATATTGTTTCGAGAGGACAGTGAGAAAGAATTGGATCTGATGCATTGGTACTAATAGAATGGTGTAGTTCTTGAGAGGACATTTAGAGTAATTGCGGTACAAGAACGACTCTAATCTACTACATGGGCTTATGCAGTATTGTGAAGGCGTTGCCAAGTCTGTAACCGTCAGGTAAAGACAGCTTGGGCGTCTGTGTGGATAAGATCATTCTGTGTGTTTCCCTACCTAACTTCGCATCATATGCCAGCTAGTTTGTAGCTACAGCTGATGGAAAGCTGCACAGCGACTGCAGTGACAGTGCTGTTGCCGCAACAGGAACTATTTGGGCTTGATGGGTCAGACATTTCGTCTCACCTGTGCTTCGCGCATCTTTCCACGCGTGCAGGACATTTGATTGCACATGGAAGCACCTATCACGGTCACGCCCCGGCGTGGACTCTTCGTCCTATGTACGTACGCGTGTGCTCTACCCTGGAAACTACGAGGGCTCTCCCTGATGCATCGTTTTTGGGGTGGAGCTTTTCTCCGGGGTACTGCCGTTTTCCGCCCTCCGTAGCACGAAGAAACGAGAAAAGCAAACGATTTGGAGAAAAAGATCAAAGATAGAGATCAGCGAGACGAGGTAAGGTGTGCGTGGCATCCCATTGTCTGCAGTGGACACTATCTTGGTGAGGGCATTCTTCTATGTTTCGATGATGTCCATAAATTCATTTTTTCACTAGATCCAATGAACGAAACCAAAGGGAGCGGTGACGTTCATATGTGGTTCCTCGAGAGAGCGGGAAAATCATCATTGTCACGAACGCGAAACTGGTCATACGTAGTTTCAAATCAATTGGTTCACGAATGGAGTACTCACGTTACCCCCGCTCCACCCTACATCACTCGTGAGAAAACGGAGCACCCAGCTATTCCCATCGTTCAACATTCGAGTCTCCCACGTGTCCTACGGAAAACAATTGTTCATTTCTTAACTACGTGGCTACTCCTTGTGAACCGTTGATACTTCATACGACACGGAGGATTAGATGGTTTACACGGCTACAAAGTTCTGACCAACCGACTTGCACCTGAATCGTACCAAGTCGCGAGAAGATGTGGTTTGATGATACATTTGAGAAAATCAAGGTTCCGTTGACAACGGAACAGGAACACTGAAAGGGTGAGTGGGTGGATGAGCCATACCGCGGATGTAGGTGATCTCCGGAACGCGAGCGACCGACAAAAGCGGCGAGACCGCTCATACCGACGACCACCGTGGCGACACCCATCACCCCATAGCGTTCGCGAAGAACACCCTGGGAGATGGTGGCCCCATCTTTCGCAGAAAAGCCCCCCCTCGGTCCATTCAGGATGCAAAAGTCTTGTCCCGCTCGTGTGGGCCGTTGCTGTCGCTGCTGTTGCTGCCGTTGCCGTTCGTGTTGTTGTTGCTGGTGTCGTTGCTGGTGCTGGTGCTGATGTTGGTGCTGGTGCCGATGCTGATGTTGTTATTGCTGCTGCCTCCGCTGTTGCTGCTGATGGCTCTGCTACTCCTGATATTGTTGCTCCTGTGTTCGACTGGTGCTGGTGGTGGCGACGGTGCTGGTGGTGGCGGTGGTACGGGTTTTGTCGTGTTCGTTGTCAGTTTTGCTGATAGCGCGGATCAGCCACGCACGACGTTAGACCGCCGGTCGTGGTTCCGGCGTGTAGGCGGGCCTCGTCGCCATGCCGATGCCCAAGTATCGTCGCTCTCCTTCAGAGCCCCCACTTCCGTGCTTGGGACCAATGAGTACACAATCGGCATGGCGACGAGGCCCGCCTACACGCCGGAACCACGACCGGCGGTNGGTACACCATCGGCATGGCGACGAGGCCCGCCTACACGCCGGAACCCAAGTATCGTCGCTCTCCTTCAGAGCCCCCACTTCCGTGCTTGGGACCAATGAGTACACAATCGGCATGGCGACGAGGCCCGCCTACACGCCGGAACCACGACCGGCGGTCTAACCTCGTGCGTGGCTGACCCGCGCTATCAGCAAAACTGACAACGACCACGACAAAACCCGTACCACCGCCACCACCAGCACCGTCGGCACCGCAAGTATCGTCGCTCTCCTTCAGAGCCCCCACTTCCGTGCTAGGGACCAATGGGTACACCATCGGCATGGCGATGAGGCCGCCCCACATGCCGGAACAACTTTGTCTGCAAGGGGCCGTGGTCACCGGTCTGTAAAGGCACTCTTCGCGCTCCTGCCTCGCGGCTATGTGGTCGACGAAATAGGAACACGCCCAATAACCTGGCGTCACGGCCGGGGCACACGCGGAGTGCCCGGTGTTGAAAACACAGCGATCATGTCCGAGTCGGGACGCGGGGCACGTGGAAGCGGTAACGCATGGTTGGTCGAACGCAACTTGCAGGAAAGCCCTCCCCAACGGAGGTAGAGGAAATCGGATGGGCAACACCCAACCGCGTGAGAGCACATTCATCTCGGTGCAAAGTCTGTTTTTTCTCACGATGTCTCACCGGCATATGTGGCCTGATATGTCATTATCATCAGCTCATGCCCTTCTTACAGGTACCAGGTGACATCACTATCGTCGTTCGTAGCGTCCCACCTCCATTTTGATGGGTCGTTCAACGCACATTGTCCAATTGGCCCAGCACACGTGCTCGGGCCTAAAGACACCGCAAAACCGGTTGCCCGCAAGGCACGGCAGAGGGACGCATTGTTGACGCTGCAGATCTATGACATTGTAGTCGATTGATAGATTTCATCATGCAGACAACCAGGCAATCATCAAACGAAACAGGCTCTACCAGCCCATGGCGTGCGCGCCCTCTTTCTAGCATGACCTCTCGGTAGGTCAGAGACTCTACTCGAAATAGCGCGCTTTACTGAGCGCTCAAGTTGCGCCCAAGGTTGGGCCGCAATGTACGCTCCCGTGAGACGTGCTGCGTGAGCGTGCTACTTTGGCATTTCCATTATGGTAACCGTAACATGTGGCCCGGTGTCCACCTCGCGTTGAAGACACCGACGACACGTGAAAAAGGCGATCGGTGTGCTTCACACATCCCTTGGACCAAGTTCCGACACTGGCATTTTTCTCCACTATCAAGGGTGTCGATGCCAAACGATACATGTTCTTGTTCCGCCCCCAAACTATGTTTCGAGCGCTGCTCCTTCCTGCACTAGCACCGCTTCTCCTGCGAAGAAGCCAAGCTCCATTCGCAGACGCCCAAGAGTGGGATCTGGGATGCACTGTCAAACAAGGCACGCCTTCCGATCAACATCACCTCGCATCCGGCGAACGATTCTATGTCCCTCGCGAACGGCGCTTCTCCCGACGGCTGGCACGAGTCCGGCCGTTCACCTCTCACGTATACCATCTTCTCGGGACTTACCTTGGGCCTTGGGAGTACCCTCCGACAAACCTAGCCGAGATAGCTCGATGCCACCCACGGGAGTAGGGCGAGAACAGGACGATCGATATGCTCAAGCCACCGTACGCCAACTTCTTCCGCTACATTCGGCGAGCAAGACGCGACGTATGCTCCAACGCACGAGTCCTTGCGTCTCGGTGGAAACGATGCTTGGGTTGCTGACTGTCCACTTTTCGTGCTCTCGCTCAACAAAAGCAGACCTTCTTGCTTGTGCTCCACGAACTCTGCTGAGAAACAGATCCAGGTGCTTAATCCTACTAGTCTAGTTAACAACATTGTTTTGATCAACAATGGCCTCGTCATCAAGTGCCATCGTCGCATCCTCGGCGCAACGATGAAGCGAGCCGCACCACTACTCCTGCCCGTCACGTGACCCGCCTGGTCGAAGCGAAGGCCAGGTTCTGCCAGTTCTGCGGTGAGCGAGACTCAAATAGAGGTGGACGAAGGGGGGAGCTTTCGCTCAGTGTTTCGATGTCAACCTATTGCGCGCCCGTGCCATGAACTGACATTGCAACCGGAGTGAGCGAAAGCTCCACCCGGCNGTTTCGATGTCAACCTATTGCGCGCCCGTGCCATGAACTGACATTGCAACCGGAGTGAGCGAAAGCTCCACCCGGCTTCGACGTATATTTGAGTTTTGTTCACCACAGAGCTGGCCGAAGCTGGGCTTCGCTTCCACTAGGCGCGTCACGTCATGGGCAGGAGTAGCGGTCATCGAAGGTTTGCTCTTTTTGTTCGTTGCCGCGAGGATGCCACGATAATGGCAGGCACTTGATGGGGATGGGGCCGTTGTTGATCAAATGCTTTGATTTGTAGACTGGGTGATCCCGTTGTAAGCA